CAAAGGTTTTAACACATATTAATACGTGTAAATAATATGAAGCTAATATGAAAGTGTAATACAACACTAGATCAACAAGAAGAGCTTACCAAAATTACTAAGGACAAGCTTGGAGATTAAATTCTTGGAAACTTGGAATTGGATCTTAAGAGAAAATGGAGTTAATAGTATGAAGTAATGGAGAATGGTGGGGAGTTTGGGGTGTGTTCTGCCTTAGTTAAGAAAGAAGAGTTGAAATGATGCTTGCCTTGTTATCTGTTGTACAATTACTTTGATACATGTTGGGTGTTTTCGGCCTAGACGTGTTCTAGGTTGATGATTTCAGTCTAGGGGTGTTCTAGGGTGGGTGATTTCGGTTTTAAGCTTCTTGACTTTCAAGGTCCATTACAAACATGTTTTTCAATATATATATATATATATATATATATATATATATATATATATATATATATATATATATATATATATATATGTATTAATCATACAAATGATTCCCTTATATATATATATAATATATATATATATATATATATATATATATGTATTAATCATACAAATGATTCCCTTTTGGCATTCATAGTTTTATTGCAACAAGATTGCGTTGTGACTTCACTTGTACACGGTTACAATTTAGACCTTGCTTGTTCCAAAATTTTCCAGTTGTCACAAGCGCCAACCTGCCAAACCTCCTATCAACATGCATGTAACATACATAAAAATCATATATTAAATAATGGGTCCATCCCAACCCCAAGTGGATGCTATGGGTGAACTCATAGTCTTACAGTCACATCTTGCCATGGGCCAAATCATGGTCTTAACTTGTACAAGTGCCAGGGAGCAGATCATGGTTTTCCATACCATTGTCAGGGGCCAAATCCTGATCTTCCATGAAAATGCCAAGGGCCACATCCTGGTCTTTCATACAAATGCCATGGGCCATGGTCTTTCATACGATTCATAGAGTCATACGTAGTTAGAGATCATATAGACAATCGAACAGATGATTCACCCGAGGGCGAACAATCAGACAAGAACATCACAATCAGGTATTAGACCAAGAGTTTTCAGGCTATCCAACTTCAACTATATAGAACCAAATCTATCATTACCACATAATCATGTAACATAGACACATAACATAAAGTATTATATTACATTCCCTTGGTAACAACCCTTCTCTAGTTACTCTGCCATTGACCATTTCTTTAAGTCCTTCATTTGTTAAACATACATAATCCAAAATAATTGGCCTTCCCCGGATACCTTAACCAAGCATAACTCCTAACAGTATCATGAGATCAACAGGCAAGACCCTACCGGTCTAACATACCATGACACCAAGTGTTCTAACTGCACATGCACAACAAGGAGTTATCCTAGTCAACTAGCATACTTCTACCCTAACAACACATCTATCCTACCAGGCAAAGGCTATAAAACGATACACATGGCTTAATGAGAAACTCACCTGAACTAAATAACCATAGAAGCACAACAACATTCTTACACCTTGCACTGCTTAATCCTGTGAACCAGCTATCGCCAAAAGAGATAAATCCTCAATCAACAATCCAAATCCTCTAAGTTTGACCCCAAGTCAAACTGGTCAAAAGTCAACGGCCAAGCAAGTCAACGCTCACCACGGCGTGGAGACCTCTTAGCCATGTCGTGGGCATGTTAGGACAAAACGACGACATACATGACATCTTCACGTCGTGGGCATGTCCGGACATAACAAAGACGAGGTTGGACTCCAGTATGTTGTGGGCATTCCTTGGCCACGTCGTGGCCACTGAAAGATTCTATAATTCTTCATTAAGAGCTTAATCCTTACAGATCAAGGCTCAAAACTTCAAATCTAATCCTTCTCTTTAACTTAATGGATAAAGTTTCCAACTTTATCCATTACGACCTCACTCCAAAGCAATATCTACAACCCTAGTCCATTAAGCCCTTAATATGACCAAAACTCTCAAACTAAGACCTTTTTCTTACTTAACAGAAGTCCATGACCATAAGAATGTTATCTTAAGCTTTGGAATTCCTCAAACTCCAAGAACATCCAATAATAGGACCAAAACCAACCAATAATGACCAACAACATAATCTCAAAAGAACAAGGTCAAGATGCAATCTTTTTACCTCAAAAGGTCCAGAAACTTGAAGAAAATGGTGGATCTAGTCTTTCTCAATGCTTCCTTTCACCAAGAAGGAATTCCTTTCTTCACAAGCTTCACCAAATCAGAAGAACAACTTCAATACCAAGTGAACAAGCTCTTAATATTCCATGGAGGCTAGGGTTTCAAAATGGAGAGGTGGATGATAAAGGAGATGCCCTAAACCAAGAGTTAGAGCCTTTAAATATGGGGGAAACCCTAAAAATTATGGGCTTGGGCTGCAACAGCTACCATGTCGTGGCCAACACCTTGCCACACCGTGGAAAATGATCCAAACACGCTCTTCACTAGATTGCCATGCCATGACGTGGTCATCAACCCACCATGTCGTGGCATCTGGTTTTTCTCCAAAAACCATAACTTTGGCTCATCCAAGACTTCGGCTGATCCATTATGGAAAACGAAAGTTACAGAACACATGAATATGAATTGAACTAATGTAAATCGAATATGAACATATGAATAATGAAGTAACAAATAAAAATATAATAAAAAATTGTTCTAAATTGAACTAACAGATTCAATAAAAATTTGTTATAAAATAACACCAAACTATTCTATTATTCAATTTATAACTATGAATTAGTTGAATATGAAATTCATCTTCCATGTCAAGACTTAAATGTTCTTCATCTCCAAATCGATTAAATTCACCTTAGAGTATGCAATGACCATCTTCAGGTCTTTGAATCTAGTCGTTATTTTTCTTCATCTTCCTGCAATTTAAATTCAAGATGATGTTGAAAGTTGAACATATAGATGTATATGAGAGTTGAAGAAGAAGAAGAAGATAGTAATTTATATAAATTCAAGATATAATTGACATCTTGAACATGTTGAAGATGTATTTGAAAGTTGAAGAACATAGTAATGTGTACAAATTCAAGATGTAGTTTAAAGTTGAACATATTCAAGTGTGTATAATTAGGTTTGCTGTTGGTTTTCAGAAAACTCATCGCCTTCCTCTTTTTTTTTTGTCAAAAACTCCATCTTCTTCGTTTGCACTAAATTGGGGTTTTATAATTTTGAAATTTCAAGATTTGGATGGCTTATCGATGTAAATTAGCTAAGTTAGGGTAATGATAGTTTGGTTTTTTCTAATATGAAATACATTGAATAACTTCTAAACTGTTTATTGATTTTGTTTAGGGATTTGGTTTCTTTATTTTTAACATTCTATGGTTTCGGTGGCGGTGGTGATTATGTGTGTTGAATATAGCGACATTGATGAGTGTGTGTGTGTGTGTTTAATCAACAATTACTTCAGATTTAGGTAAAAATGCTTTAGCTTTCACGAGTGAGCGTGTATGTATTTAATAAAAAGATGCTTCAGATTTGAATCCAACTACAATTTCATTCATGAGTTCATCTTGGAGTAAAAATGCTTCAGATTTGGTGTTCATTGTATGCTTTCGATAAACAGAAAGAAATTTTTTTGGCTAAGTCATACGTGTGACTGGTTCATTCATGAGTTCATCGTGAAACCTAGAAAAAAGTTTGGTGGTAAATCTAGCAAATGACTATGAATGTCAACGTGGTGGGTTCGGCGTGGGGCATGGTTTCCCAAACCCGCCCCGAATCTTTCGGGTATCTTATCGGGGCGCCCCATAGGGTTTTGGGTTTTTCCTTTGGGTTTCGGGTATTTATCGGGTTTACAACAATTCATACAAAATCTTTATTCCGTTTTAGGGTACCCCGATATATTATAAAAAATATGTGTTCTAGTCTCCCTTTTAAATTAAAAATATGATGCATCACTTTAATAATATAACTGGACGTTATATTAAAGTTTAGTGTAATACGTCAAAATATAAAAAATGATCATTCACATCAGATTCTTAATAACTAAAAAGATTATCCACAGTAAGTATTTTATTTTTGAGTGCATATAATTAACATCAAAATGATTCAAACTTTATATATATTATATATATATATATATATATATCTATATATATATATATATATATATATATATATATATATATATATATATATATAATCGAGGCGGGGCGGGTCGGGGCGAGGATAACTCACTCCTTGCCCCAAACCCGATAACGACCCGTTATCCGACCCGAAATGATCGGGTTTCGGGTTTCCCTATCGGGTTCAGGCTTTTTTGCCATCCCTACAAATGTGTGTGAGAGAGAGAGATGTGTCTGTTTCTTTTTAATTATTAAACTAGGTATGAGACTCATGTATTACATGAGTTTATTTAAAAGAAAAAACTAAATATAAAATTTTAAATATTTGGGAAGTTTGAATTAATAAAGAAAAATGAGAAAAATATTGAATTGTAAAAATTAAAGTGTTTTTTTCTCTAAATTTAAACAATTAATTTAGATAAATAAATAAAAGAAATTAATGAAGATTTAACTTAGTAATTTTGAAATTAAAAGGAAATTTTATCAAGGAAATTAATATGCATTTATTATTGAATTTAAATACTATGTGAAATTTAATAAAATAGAAAAATCATAAAATAACATGTGAAATAAAAATTAATTCAAAATAATCACAAAATCACATTTGTCAAATTGACAAAAAAAACATTCTTTTATTAAAATAGATATAAAAAAATATAAAAATTATATATATAATAGTTTTTTTAGTTTAGACAAAGACCAAAACTACAAATAAATTTTGTGACGTTACATCCACTTCTTAAAAAATTAGATCTTTTACATACTAACATTTTTACAGTTTTGTTTATTGAAAATGTTAAACTACAAGATCTGGACAAAAGCCACCGACAGTAAATGAAAAAATAAAAAAAATTGTTAAAACAGTGAGAAATTCCATGATGTATAACGAGGGGGAGATGCATCGTGTTCCGTATCTGGAGCCGAGATGTTTTTATGTGCTTTTGGATCGAATCGTATCTAAATCCAACAAGGGCCTCGTTTTACGTCATCCATCCGACAGCATCTCCTCCGTTCCTCGGTGAAGATGCGGTGGTTGTTAGTTGGTAGATCAAGGAGGAAGCCGGTGTCACTCCACTGCCTTCTCATCGCGTCTGCAGCTTTCACCGGTATCGGCATCTTATTCCTCACTCTCCGCTCTCTCGACGATCCGACTCCGTCATCATTCACCACACACCACTTCACTACCACCGTCACTCAACCGGAAGATGAAAAGCAAATAACAAAAACCAAAGGATGCGCTACGGTGGAAGAGATGGGCGATGATTTCCGAGGTGGATTTCTTGAGCAGAGTCTCCGCGTTAGAAATATCATTCAACGTCACTTCGATCTTAACGGTATCCGATTAAACTTCCTTCTACTTACCTTTAAATCGTTAAAAATTCACATCGGTGCTTCAATAGCTTCACTTTGAATCGTGAATTCATCATCGATTTGCTGCAATACACATTTGATTTTAGAAATTCAAACCTACTACTCTCAGATTGAATTAACATGTGTGTCATGGAATTCAAACTGTTATTATTACAATTGCCAGGTGCTGCTAGAATCCGAGGTCTTCCTCCAGCGGAATTCTGCAGACAAAGATTTGTGATTGCAAAAGCATCAGAAGCAGGTTTTGGAAACGAAATGTACAAGATTCTAACAGCAGCAGTATTGAGTGTAATCTTGAACCGATCACTGATAATTGGACAAACCAGGCATATTGGTTCTATCTCAATCCTTTCTATAATTCAATTCAATATACACATTTTACATTTTTACCCTCTTATATATGGATGCTTGTAGATGAATCTAATAAAGTAATAATAAATTCTTACAGAGGAAAATACCCTTTTGGGGAGTACATATCGTATACCAATACTGCTTTTACCCTGAATGAAGTCAAACATCTATGGAGACAAAACGGATGTTTGACCACTTACGGGAAGCATTTGGTTATGAGAATTGATGATTTTCAAAGGCCATTAAAGACAAATGTTCTTTGTAGCAATTGGAGGGAGTGGGAAGAGCCTATAATATGGTAAAATTACGAAACCGTCCTTTACTTTATGCTTGTTTATAAGTTTTTTGAATTTTGGGATATGCTTGCAGGTTCCAGAATACTACAGATGCAGTGGCAGCTCAATTTTTTTTAAAGAATGTTCATGTTGAGATGAGAAAGGCTGCTTCTGAGCTCTTTGGGCAACCTGAAAAACACTCATAGGCCTAATGTGTTTGGGGAGTTAATGAGAATTCTCATATCTCCTACAGAAAAAGTAAAGCAAGCTGTTGATTTTGTTCTTGGTGGAGGGTTGGATCCTGATATTACATTGCATATGAGAATGCTTATGAACAGGTGCCTAAATTGCACTTTTAGTTATACAAAATTGGTAAAAAAAAAAAAAAAAAAAAAAGTGAGACATTGTTGAATAAACTGGAAAAAGTATGAAATGTTGTTGTGTGATTACACATTTAACCCTAATAATTCCAATCCTCATGGAACTAGCCATGCATACCATGCTTCTTGTTTGACATTTGAAATCTGGTTTTTTTCAGATCTGTGAGAGCATTACAAGCAGCATTGGATTGTACAAGAAAAGTGATGCAGAATGCACAATTAGGTTCCAGACCTAGGTTGGTTTTAGTTTCAGACACACCCTCATTGGTGGAGGATGTGAAATTAAATTTTGATAGTTTTGCAGAGGTAATTAATTGTTTGAAGTTTTTTTTTTCTCTTTTACACTGCATTTGTCAAAAAAGACTGGACTGGATGGGACTAGACAAGCTTTCTAGGACTATCTTTGATGATGAGGATGAGGAAGATATTCTTGTTGGAGTCCGTGTCCCATCTTTTTTGGGTGGGATAAAAAATTTCATGCCAAACACAGTTTCAATCTAATGCATGCCAAACACAGTATAACTTGTTCAGTTCTATGTAACAAAATGTGAGTATGTGTTGAAGATCAATTAAATGTTTTTTGTCCGTTGTAATTTATTTATGGTTTTTTGCAGGTTGTTCATTTTGACTATGAAAGTTATGATGGAGAATTAAGTGGCCAAAACGGTTTGCATAATTTAAATTTTAGGACAAAGGATTGGGGACCCGCACCCAGATGGGTTGCATTTGTCGACTTTTTTCTCGCATCACGTGCCAGGCAAGCGGTAATTTCTGGTGCCCACAGACGTGTTGGGACAACCTACGTACAGTTGATTGCTGCCTTAGCCGCTGCAAATTCAGCCGGTATTTACCATCATTTAGGCTGCGTTTGTGATACAGGACAAGACTGGACTGGACAAGTTTTCTAGGTCCCTTTGCGATGATGACAATGAGGGGTATTCTTGACTTTTGCACACACAAGATATTTGTTAGGCAAATGGTCTCAAAGATTCCCAACAACCGGCCTAATGAAAATAATAGAGAAATAACAACACAAGAATATATGTGAAAACTCCAAAACCAGAGAAAAATCATAGGCCTTGTCAAAACAATTCACTATATGACAAATTTTTACAATCACATAAGCTAATCTCAAAGCCAACACCCAATTACACCTATACCCTCGAAAGATTTAATTCACACTTTTTACACTCTAAAACAAGCTGAAACTAAGAATCGAATACGTAAAATGTACTTTGCTTTAGGGCAATTTGAAAACAAAATCTTGGGTTTCTTTTTTAGTCACAGAGCCCACTCCACCTTTTCTACTACGGAATTTATGGGACAATTACTCTGGTATTTAAGTCAAGTTTTAACAAGATCGACAACGAGTCACTGTTCTACCTTTTTTTATAGGACAAAAAATAACAATTTTTGTCTTATTGACATCATGCGTGATACATAGTATAACCTATTCAGTTAAGCGTAACAAACCAAGCTTTAGAAACCGTGTCTTTTTCTGTAGCTAACAGACTTTTTTGTGGCAGATAATGTTGGTGGTAATTCGAGTTTCTCATTCTTCAGTAGTTTTCAGAGTACTCTAATTTCGGAAGGATTGAGTAATCAAGTAGGTTGGGGGCATATTTGGAATAGATTTTCAGGTCCCTTAAGTTGTGGAAACCAAACGAATCAATGTGCTTACACACCGTTGTTACCTTCTGCGTGGTGGGATGGTTTGTGGCAATCGCCTAGTCTTCGGGATATCCGTAAAATGGAAGCTTATGGCATTCGATTATCTGGATTTGGTACAGTTGATGAAAATCAACTTCTTTCTTTTTGTAACACTAGGAAAGAATTTCGGAAATTCATTACACTTGTATAAATGTATTTTTTTTTCGAGTTTAATGAAAAGTGACATCAGGATATTCTATTTACAGTTTGGTATAAGTTTAATTCTTGTTATTTATGTTTGTTATTTTATTTTTGGTTTATATTTGGAATACGTGAATGATATGTTTACACTTTTTGATTGACTTTTAATCGTTAAATATTTGGATATATTTAACTTTTATATATAAAGACAATAGAAAAAGGTTGTTTTTCGTCGTCAAAGTTTCTTAGAAAGTCTATGCGTTAGGGGGTAAAAATAAAGTTTCCCATATATTGCTGCTAGATGCATTCAGAGGTTTTAAAATGTGCATAATATATGCCCAACTTCAAAGTTGCCTAGAATGATGGAAAATAGAGAACGGTAGAGATAAGTTGTGTATAGAGGAGAAGCTGCAAATATTATTTGCAATTTTATTAGAGGCACTTGATGCCCTTTAAATTAGGGGTGAGCGTGTTTGGACACCCGAATCTGGAACCGATTGGTTTACAAGAAGAGGCCAGGTTATCGCTTATTAGTATTGTCCAAATTTAGTTTTTTACCGGTTCGATCCAACCGGTTTCGGGTAGAAAGCGGTTTTGAACCGGAACTTTAAAATGATTTTTTTGTATTCAATGAAATTTTAAAACATGTATATCTCATTCGTTTGAATTTGAATTGACATGTGGTTTTTTACTGAGTGTAGTTTAGAGTTTATAAATGATTTTAAACTATAGTTTTGTTAATTTTGGTTTCATATTCAATAAATTACAGTTTCCCGAAGTCGGGATATCAAAACATGAAATTTTCAGCTTTTCAACTTATTTATTTATTTATTTATTTTGTATTCTATGAAAATTTTAAAATATGTATATCTCATTCGTTCAAAGTCGGATTGACATACGGTTTTTTCAGCATGTGGTTTAGAGTTTGTGCATATTTTGGACTATAATTTTGTCATATTTGGTTTCATATTCAATGACTTATAGTCCCCAAAAGTCGGGATAAATAATCATAAAGTATTTCTTGTATCTAAAATAAAGACTTAAACTAAAAATTCTATTTCGAATATAAAATGAACAATCAAACCCAAAAATTACCACTTACCTCTGAGAGGCTTAGTGAGTAATCACAACACTCACCCATTATGCAGATCATATGCATTTTTACAGCGCACACATAAACATCAAGGCATAATCACATAAAATTGTACACAGAACATATGATATCATACATAACCCCAGTCAACTAGATTCCCTAAGGGGCTAGTCTCTACTTGACCTAATATTACTGTAACGCCTCAAAAATCACAACCAATTTAAACTTTTCAAAACAACTCATTTACTATTAAAAGTGTTTACAAAACCATTGTTTCCAAATTATTATTTAAAATCAGAGTTTCCCAAGATCAACAACATAAAATTAGGATGTGTACGGTCACACATTCGTCTTCCCATGATCCTCGGAAGTACCTGAAACCATAACCCAAAAACTGTAAGCCGAAACTTAGTGAGTTTCCCCAAAGTACCACCACATAAACATAACAAACAACAACATGTATAAATGAGTGTTCAGCCTGACTGGACTGCCTCGTAGGGCCTACAGCCTATCTGGACCGCTCTCGAGCCTTCGGCATGACTGGACCGCCCCACAGGGCCTACAGCCTACCCGGACCGCTCGCCGAGCCTTCAGCTTGACTGAACCGCCTCGTAGGGCCTACAGTCTATCCGGACCGCCCCAGGTGTCTTGGCCTTCAGCACAAAGCAGGACCGCCTCAACCCAACCATACATAACATGTCGACATATACATAACAGATAAACAGATCACCACCGCATGCTAACATCTTATATATCAGGATACAAATCTAACAGATCACTACAACATAACATCATATATTCCATGATACAGATCTAACAGATCACTACAACATAACAACATACGGTAAACAAGGATATCAATTCAATGAGCCGACCTTGGTGCCTTCGACCCGTAAGTACAGTGAGGAAAAACTCATCTCTCAATCTGAACAATAGCTGATGAGGTTCCGACTCCGAATCTCAGCTCTGACTGTCACCTATCCATCCAAATGACCAATTCTCAAACACAATCCAAAATACCCAAAATACCCCTAGGTCAAACTTGGTCAACCCTGGTTAAAGTCAACAGTCAAGGTCCCAAAAGTCAATATCCCTTCCCAGCGGAGTACGCCCTGCATACCAAGAGAGTACGCCCAGCGTACTCTAATATTGACCAAAATGTGAGGCGCTGACCGCGTACGCGCAGCGTACCTCAAGGTACGCCTAGCGTACGTAGCCCAGTCCCAAAACTCCATTAAGAGCTTATTCCATTAAGCCATTCCATCCAAAACTCATATCCAAACCCAAAATGGTGTCCTAAGTAATAAAGTTTCAAACTTTATGACATTACATGGCTATTAAGTGCTTAATGTCTAAAACCCTATGTTCTTAACCCAATAAGACCATCTAACACATGCATGGGTTACATACAACACTCAAGATCATATTTTTATGGTTCATAATAGCTCCATAATGGATAAAGTTTCCAACTTTATCCATTAGAATGGTCCCAACAAACAAGATCTAGTCTTTAAGTCTCAAAAGGTCCCAAAAAGTGCATCTTTTCAACTTAATCCATTAAGTCCAGGTCTCTAACCTTTAGATCTAAATCAAAATGATGTTTAGATAGATAAAGTTTCCAACTTTATCCATAACAAGGTCACTGACTTTCAAGATCTAAACTTTATGCACTTAAAGTGACCAAAAGTTCATAAACACCCAAAACTAGCTAGATCTAATAATTTCATCATCAAGATTCAAACTTTATACCTCTAGAAGAAAGATCAAGGTGAACAAAGTCTGGATCTACAAGCTCCAATGCAACCAACACTTCTTCAATGAGTTCCTTCTTCTCCAAGGTGCACCAAGAGCACTCCAAAGCACTTAAAAACACCATCTTTTTACTCACAAGGCTTAATCTAGGGTTAGAGTTTCAACAGAGGGTGTTAGAGAAGTAGAAGCTGAGAATGGAATGGGTTTGGGGAAGTTAAGGAGCTTAAAAAGGGCTCAAACCACGAAAATAGGGTTTGGGCACTTATCACATACGCCAACAGTACTCAATTTACGCCCAACGTACTCAGGCATACTCAATACGCCTAACGTACTCAATTTACGCCCAACGTACGCGGCTGACCCAAAAATCGTCCTAACTTCAAACGGCCATAACTTCTTCGTTCCAACTCCGTTTTCGACGTTCTTTATATCCACAAAAAGGTATTGAAGAGTTATGAAATATTATCTGAATATCTTGGACTAAATACTTCTCAAACAAAAATCCATATTTCACGCAAGAACCCGGATTATGACTTTTCCCTTTCTACCCTTCGGCCCAGAACACAATTTAAGGGTATAATCTCTTAACTATTATTACCTCCTTCCATCAGGACTAAACTTTGCCTCCTTAAGGCCCAAAACCTCTTACAAATCGACTTCCGGTCCATGGCTTAGAAATGACATGAAACAGGATGTTACAATTCTCCCCCACTTAAATTAGATTTCGTCCTTGAAATCAGCTCTCGCTTCCGCTTCCCGATGGAATCCCTAGCCAAAAACCCGTAGATTTGATCGATACTAAACCTCCTCGGCCAGTCGTCGTCATGCTAATCCCGCATATAGATGTTGGATTAATGTCTAAGTCCATAACTATATTTGGTATGTACTTGACCCGACCCGGCATGGTCCATTTGGGTTGCACTTCACCGACACAATTTATATGGATAGTCTTTTGAGAATAGTATATTTATGATTTATATTAATATATTATAAGTTCTAATATATTAATATATAATCATATTATTTAATTAGTATTGATCAAGAATTAATTTATAATTAATTAAGTGATCAAAAAGAACTAATTAAATATGGACTCTAGTGGTAGTTCATAAAATGTGTTTTTGTAACTTGTCCTCAAGTTACATAAAAGGTCACATTTATGAATCTTAAAACTCATAAAAGTGTCATAGGTTACATAAAAAAAATGAAGAGTCTTTTTCATTAAATAGTATTATGACTCCATAACTTGTCCTCAAGTTATGAATGTTTAAGAGTCACTTCTTTAAAAGTGTTATTAAAGAATAAGAGGTTACATAAAAAATGAAGAGTCTTCATTTTAATGAACCATTAAACTCATAAGTTATGAAATGAAAAGTTTTGAATAGTTTCAAAAACTTGCCCTCAAGTTTTGGAATTTGTAAAGTTTTCACTTATGAATACTTTAATTCCAAGTTAAGCCCTTAGAATTTTAAAAGTTAAAATTCAACCCTTATACTTATAATATTATAAGTTAATAATATATATATATATATATATATATATATATATATATATATGTATAAGAGTAAAGTCGTCTTACCATTAGTAGGCCTCATTCACGAAGCCGGTCTATAAGGGGGGTATAAGGTTACTGCCTATAAAATGGCAGTTTAATGGGTGTCCACTCTCACCCACCGCTTCCTTGACGGTGGAGGGTCGTTAGCCGAACGGGTAGGACAAGGACTATAATTCTCCCTTCATTAAAAGTATTAATGATAAATACTAAGTAACTAAACTCTTAATAATACCCAATCTTAGTTACTTAGGAAAATGTGAATTTGGTGCTAACCCATGAAATTACACTTTGCACTTTGCTTAAGTCAGTTAGTGGAGCATGTGTGGTTAACCGGCACACTAGCTTGATTTAAACAGGTAGGCAAAGGGTAACTTAATGTTTATCATAGTATCGGTGGAGCGTGTGTGGTTAACCGGCACATCGATTGAGGGGTAAATATTAAGGGTACCAAGTATATTTGCATGGTTATTCACACCTTGTTTTGTGATCCTCGACATCCCAGTCACAAAACGTGAAGGGCACACTCGAGATTGAAACATGCCTTTGAAAAGTTCAATGAATCTCAAAAGAATCTAGGAGTTTCAAAACCAATTAAAACCTAATAATACATTTCGTTTATCTTGGTGGAAATTGGTGAATCGTCATTCACCTACCTT